GACTAGGACTGGAGCTTATCGTAGGGGAGACACTAGGTGCAACACTTGGTAGTTCACTAGGCAATTGACTAGGAGAAGTAGTAGGGCTCACACTAGGGTTCACACTTTGAGTTGGACTATCACTTGGCACATCACTAGGATAATCGGTGGGATTGGTAGAATCGCTAGGTTCAGATGTTGGTGATGAAGTTAATCGCAGAGTAGGCTGCAATACAGGTTGTCCCATAGGTTTACTTGACGGTAGACGAACAATGGGTTGGGAGGTTCGTGATCCGACTGGTTTTCCTGTTGGTGTTTCAATCGGCTGCTGCACTGGTTGTTCCACTGGCTGCTGCACTGGTTGTTCCACTGGCTGCTGCACTGGTTGTTCCACTGGCTGCTCCACTGGCTGTTCCACTGGTTGCTCCACTGGCTTCTCAACTGGTCTCTCAACTAGCTCCTCAACTGGCTCTTCAACCAGAGATGGTTGTAATGTAGGCTGAGTTTCAAATTGTATGACAGGCTGGGCGGTAGGTTTAGGGCTGGGCTGAAGGGTAGGAACAACTGTGGTGAAATTTCCTGTCTTGTTCCCTTCAGGGAAAATGATCGGAGCTCCTGATGGTTCCAAACTCACTGAAGGCATTTCGGATTCGCACCATTTCCCGCGAACGTTTGTCATTTCATCATCCCTATAAGAAGCTTGTTTGAAAGAGTCGTGATTACCATAACACATATATCTTGTTGGGTGGGAGGTGGCGAGAGCACCAGTAGGAGCTGATGGCATGGAGGTCAAAAAGGAATGTGGAGTTCCAAAGTGGTTTGGAGCTTCAGTAGGGACCTGATCAGGAACGACGTTACCATTTCCCTCACTTAGTTTCACCATGCTACCAATACTAGGAAGTGAAATTTCATTGTCACCCAGGGTCCTCAATTTCCGGCACTCTGGATCATCGGGATCTTCGAGACATTTAGACGGGATAGACATGAGCGAAGAACGATTCTTCGACGAGACCGTCCTATCGCTTGCAGCCTCTGCGCTGATGGCTACATTTTGCTTCAGTCGTGAAGCACGAGGATATAATGCCGGGCCACAAAACTTTATCTTCTCGGGATCACTAAAGTCACATTTTTGTACTCGATTTATTTTCGAGGGATCAACGTTCGAACCGAAATGGCGATAAAACCACAGTGTTTTCTTCTCGACGGTGCTCTCCAACAGTCGCAGAAAACCTAGGATACCTTTCCCAGGATTTTCGTTAGGAATATACGAACCATCCACCCCCTCGAGTCTGAAAGAGATTGTAGTGAAGGTCACTAAAAGGGCAATCAAACTCAACTTCACCGATACCGATGCCCGAGTTCGGAAAGATTTCATGTTTTTTCACTATTCGATTCGATAAGCTTGGATCCTATTCTTGGCTACCTTGCTTTCAATTTTGGATTAGAACACAATGCATATTGGTTTCAAATACGGAGACTCTCGATCATCCTAATACCGTGCTCGCTGGTATCAACTAGTGAAGGCATTTACACCCAGGAAACGCCTTCTCGAACGAAAATTGAGGACGATGCGTTGCGCTAATCCATTCACGAGAGAAATGGAAACAAATATTAATAATTGATTCGTTTTTGAAATAAATACTGTGAGGGGTATAGCTCTGCATGGTCATTTTGAAATAAGCCTAGAATTGTTCCTCAATATTTCTTATGCTTGATGATGAACGGGGGTTATATAATTAGGATCAGGAAGATTCATTTTTCTTCAGCGATAATTGCTAGCACACAGCGCACTCCCAGAAGCTATTTGGGTGCCAGCGACAACAATCCTCTACCCCTTGCCCCCGAAAATCTCCTTCGCTCCCCCATTCCACACGCCAAAACTATCTAGTCCCTTAATCTTTTTACTGGCGTTAGTACTACTACTAGTAGTAGTAGTATTAATAGTACTAGTACAACAACTACTACTATGTAGTATGAAGTACTAGTAGTAAGTAGTACTAGTAAGGTTTTAGTACATAGGTTTTGCATCCCAAATCTCAAAAAGAAGGTCCAGTGTATATAGTAGGACGAGTACTATTCCTGCTATTTCCACCACAACTAGTACTAGTACTACAACAAGACAACTAGTACTAGTAGTGGTACTACTAGTAGTATTGTTACTAGTAGTACTACTAGTAATCCCATAGCTAGTGGTGCTGGTGTGTTAATAGCATGTTCTTGTTGTTGTTGTTACTACTACTACTAGTACTACTAGTAGTAGTCCTACTAGTATTTTGTGAACTTGTTGCTCCACTCTACTATCATGTGCTTAATTTTCTACTAGTAGTACTACCACCACCAGCTTCACAGTAAGAAGATTTCCTATTAGTACTGCTGTGCTGCACCTGCACATCTCATTGGTCACAATGATGATACTGCTCATACTACTACTACATGAAAGAGTAGCTTGTTGGATGAAGTGCTGGTGGTGAAAGAATGTACTAGTAAGAGAGAGATGCAATTGCCCAGTAAGGCAGATCCTCATACTAGTAGTAGTATTTTGATTGATAAACCAAACACCAGCATGTGTCAAAGTACTTAGTGTTGCTTTATTCCTTCTTGATAAATGGGAGTGCAATGATGCTGGTAGTAGAGTAGTAGTGAGCCAGTGGTTGTTCACTGAAGGAACTACTACTACTACTGATCAGCAAACTTCTAGTACTACTAGTAGAGCTGCTGTTGCTGCAACAGAGAATTCTCAATTTGGAGGTTGGTGTCACAACCACTTCATTAGTTAATGATGACACCAAGAACTCTGAGGAGAAGTGACAACACAAAAGGCACCAGATACCAACACCTGGCCTGTACTGGATCCTAAATGTCTTTAACTCAGAAGTTTGGTTTGCTGATCTACTCTGATTCCACCTCCATAGAAGTACTTTTGGCAACTGCAAGAGCTGCGCCAAAAAACAGTCATTTCACAGTTTGAGTTTTTGCTCAAAACACTAGTAGTGCTAGGTGACAAGAACCTGAACCTGACCCCCGAAGAAGAAAACAACCAGGTCCCAAGTTTGGCCACCTTCTGTACTCTGGTTTCCATTTGTAGTTTCAGCAACTTCAAAACTGCTACAGTTTTTAAATCTGTCGACAGTCTAAGTCTTGTTTCAATGCTCATCCTGGAACTCCTGATGATTTTGTACTCAACTCTGATTGATGTCATCAAACTCAAACAATAAACTATTATTAGTGGCTTGGTACAAGTTAGATAATATCAAAGACAATGGTGTGGAATTAGGACCTCCCCACTGATTCACTCAGACTCTGTGATATAAAGTAATATTGAAAATTCGTAGTGATGTACGTAATGTTGCTACTTCTAGTTGCTAAATGCAAATATTCAGCGTCACTACTAGTAGTACCATCCAGAAAATTCACCGTCTCCGCCGTAAACCTCTGATTCCGCTTCAGAATCCGATGCGAAACCATTGTAGTTATCGCAATTGGAATATTCGTTACTACCTCCAAAATCCATTGCATATGCGTGTTCCTCCCAGTTTAGATTGTCCTCGAAACTAGTCTCTTTTTCATCGATCAAATGACCTTTGAAAGTCTCTGATGCAGAGGTCAATGCTGCGCACATGAGAGTTGGATAGCGAGTCAAATTGTCTAGAGGTTTCATAGGAGCATTCAGGACATCGGAATAAGATGTGAAAATTGGAGTGGCTTCGAAGACCTCTGTGTTGGAAAATTCCTCTGTGATGACATTGTATTGCTTTCCTCCTATCGAAAAATGGAGGCCCGGTGCTCTTCCATTCGCATTTTTCGTTTCCGTGCTTTCTTTCTTTCCTACCGTCGAAGAAAAGTGGTAGTTTGGAAGTCTGATATTCTTTCGCTTTGTTTCCGTGCTTTCTTTCCGCTCTCCTGTTATTGAAGAATGAAAGCTTGGTAGTCTAACATTCTTTTTTTTGGATTCCGTCTTTTCCTTTCGTTCAGCTGCCATAGTAGAATGGAAGCTTGGTAGTCTGGAGTTTATTGTCCCCATTTCCAGAATTTCTTTTCGATCCTTAATTTCATTTCGTTCTTCCGCTACAAATTTTCGAGAAGATTCCATTACAGAATCGAGTAACTCCTTTGTCAAATCTTCAAGTCGCGGGATTGGAGCCGGAGGAAGTGTCGAAGAGGATCCATTGTAGTCGACCTCATTTTTTCCCCTCTCATTCGGTCCCTTCTGTAGAACAGAAATATACTCTTCTTTTGTCAAGTCTCCGAACTCATTCAAAAGGTAGAATTTTCCATTCTTTCTATTCATTTCCATTTGAGTAACAAAATTTTTCTTGAATATTTGAAACCTTTTTTCATCCCTGACCTTTCCATAGCGTTTTGTCCAGGCACCGTACTCTCTTCGAATAATCCCATCTGCATTGCGATCTACGTTGATTTTCTCTTCTTCGATCTCTGGTTCTCCTAAAGGACGAATACGAATCTTTGGAGTGAATGATTGCGGCGACCAGTCAGTTGTTGCGAATGGTTGTGATTTTCTTCCCGCCGTACTCTCTTCAATGTAAGCAGATACATTTTTTGTTGCGACGAATATGATGGTAGCCCGGAATAGATACTTCATGACGAAATGAGTTTGGTGCTTTTAATCGTTCTACAATATTCTTTTTTAGTTTACCGATTGATTTGAAGTGACGGAGGCAAATCAACGAACGAAAAGGGAAGAAATGAAAAAATGATGATTTCAAAAACTGTGTGACATCAAGATTTCACTTGGCCGGTCGGCGTCCAATTCGACTCTTGTCAGAAGCCGGCATAAATTGAGAAGATGCATCTGTCTTCATCCGTCAAAATAAACTTTTTTTCGTAGCAAATATTGAACACGCATAAATCCTGTATTTCGATCACGTACGATGACAGATTACGATATCCGATTTCGGACGATTTTAATTCAGCTCTTGAGATGAAACTGAAAATAACGAAGAAAAATAGCCGGCTAACTGTATCTCTTTGGTATGATACGTACGTACCCTACCATACTTTACTATCTCAGAAGTAATTGATGTACGGTACGGTACCGTATTGAGAGTCAGTGGTCATAATTTCGGGGGATGCACGCGCGACAGGCTCTGTTTTGGTGTGGTAGAAGCTTTCGTTAGAAAAACTCGTATTCCACCCAAGGTTCGAGGTACATACGGTACGTCACCAGGTACGTCGTGTGCTACCACCACAAGGCTCAGACGTGGACGCATGTTACGATGATGAACGATTTTCGATTTTCATTCGAAAGACAGAAAAAGGCGCGAAAAAGTCATAATTTGAATATTTGGAACAGTATCAATGTTTTTTCCTTTCATCACCCGTTGAACGTACGAACACCGGATCGTAATGACTCCAGCAAGCAATAAGTTTTGGAAGATCCCTGACATCTGACAATTCATCAAACGGTACGGTGCGCAACTGATCGAGGTCGGTACATTTGAAGAAGACCGTTCCGCAGGACAACTGTTACGATAGAAAGCCGACAAGTCTTGACTAAACCAAATTCTGGCTCGTATTCGATTAGAGACAGCGACCAACAATCGAAACCAGAGAGATACGTATAGTAAAATAACCAAGATAAAAAACGACCATGCCGAATCCTTTATTCGTACCAAAATCAAATGAAAAACCCCAGCTGTTGACGATATCTTTTGAAGACGACCCTCAGGGGTCCCTTGGAGCGCAATTGATCAACTCCGACAAGGTTAGTATTCTTAACAATCGTAATCGCCTCCACCAAATAGTAATTTGTTTTGAGCGTTGAGACACGCCTCTTCAATTCTGAACATATTTGCACTCACGACATGCACCACATCGCTTAGGGAGAGCCAGCCGAAATGTTTTCTCCAGGGTTTGCTCAGATCGGACGATTACTAGAGGGGGACACTGTGGCTCGGAAATCTGGAGTTGAGGTTGGAGACATTATTGTTGCGGTCAATGGTTCTGGTTTTCGTCGCTTTGCTTCTGATTTCGACGAAAGTGAAGTTGTGAACCTTTCAAAGGATTGCCATATCCCAAACGACAACAACGTATTGCACCTTGGACGCGGGGAGGCTTATGATGCGCTGTTGACAAAAATCAAGACCATCAAATCTGCTGGAAGTCCTCCACTTGTTTTGAGTTTGGAAAGGTATGTTGTTGCTTTTGCTGGTGAAAAATACCAAAAATTAGTTCAGTTGTCAGAAAATTGCTTCATGTGTTGTTATAAATCTTGTTCCTGTGCAACATGTGAATGGCAATGACATATGTTTGTCCTCTTTATCCTACCAACTCAACCCATGATTTGCTTCATTGCATGCAGATATACATGGGATGCAAAAGTTAATTCTTGGCCACGATTCCTTAAAGCTCGTGATGGTGACGTTCCCGCTGCAATGAAAATGCTTCAAGATCACGAGAATTGGAAGACGCAAAATTTGCCAATGGACTTGACCAGAGACGGACTACAAGAGGTTCTGAGGCTTAAAGCTGTGGCAGAGGTGGATGTCAACCAAAATCGCGATGTACCTCCTGCGGTATACGTCAACTTTGCTAAACTCCAATCCATCGAAACTATTTCTTTCGATGATGTATGCAAAGCTTTCGTAATCTACACCGAAATGATGTTGGCTCGTTCAAAAGACCCTCGAAGACCTCAGATAAATCAATTTATCGACATGACTGATGTAAGCGTATCTAGTGGGTTCCGCGCGGAGCTCATTCGGAAAATTTACGAAATATTTGAGGCAAACTATCCAGAATGCCTTGGCGTAATGGTAATGCATCCAGTCTCTACTGTTTTGGCAACCACCATCCGGCATGTGTTGAAATTTGTGAACGAAAACACACAACAGAAATTTGTATTCGCGAATACTTTATCGGAAGTGTGCGATGCTATGGGATGGGACGAAGAAGAAGTCGAAAGTTGTGGTGGAGTAAAGGAATTCATGCACAAACACGAAGAAGCTGGAGCTGACTTGATACTAGAATAAAGTAAAAGGCTGCAGTCTGACCTAAGATGGTTGCCGCTGATTTTGTTGGGAAGGAATTCATAAACTTCGGACTGCAACTGAAAAAAGGCTTACGGCCACATGCTTGCCAACACAAATAAAGTAACCATGCCGATCAAGAATCGTATTTTTAAAACGTCATTCTATTCATTCTTCTTCAATTCTGCATCTTTTTCATCGTCATCGTCTTGCCCCTTTACAACGTGTTTGTGAATGAATTTCCGTGTTCTCTTCACCTTTGGCCAACGAATCAATGGATTCACTTTCGACGTGTTGTATCCGTTCGTTTGAAAGCCGACTACCACAACGAGCAGAAGCGTAAGCATGAATGGAAGCCCAAAATCAGCTTCGATCGTCAATTTTCTATCAGGTTCACTGAATTGTTTCAGATACGCGGAATACAATCCCAAGATCCCAGCGCCTATGGGCAAGACGAGAAAAATGCACACTTTGGCTAGTGTCGTTGGCATGATTATTTACTCCTGAACAGTGGGCAATGAATTCGGTGGTCAAGGTTATATTGGCGAGTGTTGCTCAAGATTCAGAAGTAACGGGTCGCAGAGTATTGTCTGCCGTATTGTACCTGTAGAATACCCAATTTCACAACACAGTTTCACCTTTCGAATAAGAAGAACGATGGCTTTCTACCTCGAATATTTTGTCAATAATCGTGGTTCATGGAGGAACGTTATTGTTGTCTGTGTTTATGCCGATTGTTGTCGATTTTCAGATGCTGGTTGACATGACACCATCTGCGCCTCCCCATTCAAGACTCCTCCGTAACGTACGGTACTACAGTACAAACAAACGAAAGTTTTTCCGTACCCTGGTATGAATATGAATGAATCTTCAGGAATCTTCTATTCAGTCTTCTATTCAGATTACACCTGCTACCTTCACAATTGCTGAGCGAGGGACTATCAGTACGAGTACGTACGTACTACGAGTACTTGTAGACGTCGTACCTTGAACGTACCGGCTACACAGGCCGAGTAAGAGTTAAGCTCCGAATTAAGACTACCATATTCTAATAGGTTATGAGTACAACAAGAATGCGTGGCTTTTATAACACACTCATTGAATCAACCTTATCATAGCAAGCTGTCACCTCTTCAGTTCTTCATTCAAACTTAATCAATTGTGCTCAAAAGACAAGTGTGCAGTCCAACTCTCTTCACCTGTGTAGGAGACTGCAGTACAAATCCTACACAGAATAAGACCAAAATACCAACAAAAAAATTAAAACAATTAGTATAACATCTTTTCTGTTCATTTCTTTCTCTCTTCAGCATAGTAGTGTAATATCCAAACAAGAAAATATAAAACACTCCAAACTGGCATGTGAACTATCACATAAACTATCATATTTACCATGATAAAAATCATATCACCATGATTGATGATGATGATTCTTTTTCTGCTGAGGACAGGGCTGATGACAATTGTTGTTGTTCATGCAATGCAAACCTATCTGACAACAGTACTAGTAGTGTTGGCCCACACGCTCCTCACAGTAGGAGCCCCTCCCAAGATGACAGCAGTTTTCCAGTGGTGATACAAACAGTTATCTTGGAATTCTTTCTGATGCCCCATACTTCTATACTGCTCCCTTCAACAAAATTCAAGAATTCTCATTGACCTTGACCTCTCTGATTCATCTGATCTGGAGCAGGATAAATTGGAACATCTTCTCCAGTCCCACTAAAATTCCTCCTGCTGGTACACACATGTATTTAGATGGTGATGAAGAAGAAGCACACAACAGCAATGACGATGAAGAAGAATGCAACAACAATATCACTCAGCATCAATCTCCTGGTGTCAGGAATCTTGTGTGATGAGAGGGATGTATTAAGTACAGTGGTGTACTAGAAGTAGCAAAGAAAGAATTTATTTTTTCTGAAGTTTGTGGGTGGCAACATTTGGCAACACATGATGGGAAAAAGTTAATGAAATCTACTTTTGATGGCTTAGGAATACATCAAACACCTGGTCCAGATGTTGCATACATCTGAAATAAGCTTGCATTCTTGTGTCCACATTAGTAGTGGATATTCATTAGTAGAGAGCCCTTGTGCTGACACAATGATACTGCTTGTGCAAAAAAAGTTATTTGAAAAAATGATTGAATTACTATTAGTAGTAACTCTATAACTATAACTATAACTAGTACTAACAACAACAACAACAACAACAACAACAACAACAACTTACACCACCAGACACCAAGAACCAGACAACCAATACGTCTGTGTAGTTGGCGTGTGACAAATATGTGGTGTCTCCCACTAGTAAGACTCAAGCTCTAGTACTACTACTTTTAGTAGCTGCAACACTCTTTGTTCATTAGTAGTACTAGTAGTACTAGTAGTGGTACACCAAGCACTCCTCTGAAAAAACAGTAATTAATTAACATTAATGACCAAAATCCTTAGCATCCTTGGTTCTCCTCTAACATCAATGACTCTAAAGTCATGAGTTATTTCTTGTGGGTTCCTCCATGGTTCTTTCCAATGAAATAACCCACATTTTAGAAAGAACGTGGCTTATTTTTTTTTCCAGCATGAAGTAACTAGTCATGATTCTACTAAAACATGGGTTATTTTTTACCAAGAATAACCCACGTTTTTCTAGGAGGGGAGGAATTCAAAAACAGGTATGCACGTGGGTTCCAGAGGGCCCAGATGCAATCAGTAGAGCTAAGCACCTGAGAGGATTTTGAAGTTGTGCCTTTTGAGTACATGGTTTGTCAGCTGAGTACCCCTACTGGTGCATGTCAATTACTAGTACAAAGCAAATTGATCACATTCTAATACAACCGGTACAATTTGGTACTAACTAGTAGCTGACTAGCAAGAACCAAAGAGCTACTATAACAGAGCAAAAGAATCAATGGCAGGCATGCTGTCAATAGTGGAGCAACGCAAAAAACAAGAAAAGAGCAAAAAGATCTAAACTTCCCTTTATCATCACAGTGGTGCTATAGGATAGCATTGAAGTGGGGGGCACAAACCTGGATACTTCAAGTCTCAACAGCAGCAAGATTAAAGTTTTGATTAGTGTTTTAGTTCCTCTACTTCCCAAGCGAGTTGGTAGACTATTGCTGCAAGGATTGGCATCAATACAATGAAAAGGAAACGCAACCACGACGTGCTGCCCATTTTCACGTCGTCCAGTTTTCCTGGAAGACCGGCAAACGAGTTTGGATCCTCACTCACAGGCAATATACGCATGAAAAATCCGATTGGAATCGACAAAGCACCGTACCCAACAGTCATTATCCATTCCTCAAGTGAAAGGGGAGTTGTCTGCGTAAATTCACCACCATATTCAACGATAAACCATTGGGAAAGTACTGTGAAGATAATCACTAGCACAAACATTGGAGATTCTCCTAACGCACCAAGGGGGTTAAAGATGTCTCCAATTTCTCGTGCATTGAACTCATTGAAAATTTGACAGAAGACAAATGCGTTGAAGATAATCGTAAAATGATGAATTGAACCGTCTTCGCAACTGTACAGAACTGGTCCCTTGCTCAGGAGGTAGACAAGAAGTGTCAGTTGGTAGGTTGACTGAATCAGAATGTTGCGCCACATAGGAAGACTAATCAAACTGGAATTTCTCTTGTAGGGTGGTCTATCAAGCAGTTCTTGCTTGGGAGGTTCAGTTCCAAGCGCAAGAGCTCCCATTGTATCCATAATTAGGTTCACCCATAGCATCATTACTGCATTCAAAGGAGGATCATAACCAACTAGAGCCGAAAGGAATGTGATGGTCAATGCGACGACGTTCACAGTTAGTTGAAATTGCAAAAACTTGCGAATGTTATCGAAGACAGATCGTCCCCAAAGAACAGCTTTTACGATCGATGAAAATTTGTCATCCATGATGATAATATCAGAGGCGTTCTTTGCGACATCAGTGCCAGAGAGACCCATGGATAATCCCACATCAGCAGCTTTAAGCGCAGGACCGTCGTTAGTTCCATCTCCTGTAACTCCGACAACTTCCCCTACGCCACCGCGCGACCTCGACCACTCTTCCTTATATCCGGGCAAAAGAAGATCTTTCTCGGTTGCAAAATCTCTTCCAGGATGCCTTTCAAGCCATTCCTCTTCCGTCTCGGGCATCAGCCCTCCGTTCAGTCGCTGAACAAGAGTGTGCTTGTCTTCAGGACTCGAACGCGCCAAGACCTGCAAAGTGGGAAGGACTCGATCTAATTCTGCGGGAGTCAATTTTCGAAATTCCTCCCCCGTCATCGCCGTACCCCCTAGTAAGTAACACATTGTAACAAGAGAATTGTTGAGGAAAGAGCTGAAACCCAGCGCATACCATTGGAATTTTTCTTCGAGTCTCGATACACATACCTTTCGTCAAAATACCAGCCTGCTTAGCAATCGCTCGGGCTACAAATGAAAAAATGGATGGTGAGAGAAATGTTTAAAATGTATTTTTCCGTGAGATGGATCAATCAACGTACCTGTCTCGATGTTATCACCAGTGACCATGCGGACGAAAATTCCTGCCTTTTGACACACGGCAATTGCATCGACTACATCATCTCTTAGTGGATCAGCGATACCAACAAGCGCATCCAAACACATTTCCTTCTCAATCAGACTTTCGCAGTCTGCGATAGAAATTTTCGAAATATCTTTTGTAATGTTTTCAATTTGATTGCGGTGTGTTATCGCGATGCACCGCAACGCGTCTTCCGCAAACTCGCTGATAATGTTTTCAAAGTATTTTCTTTTCTCTGATGTCATAGGCTTCTCTGACCCGTCAGCATCCAAATACAAGGTACAGTTGGCCAAGATTATTTCTGCCGCTCCCTTGTGGTACATGGTAACATTTTCTCCTCCCTTCTTGACCAACACTGTCATGCGTTTACGGCTGCTAGAAAATGGAAAAAGCCGACTGCCGCCTTCCTTTCCAAAGTTGGCTGCTTCACGACGTGTGTCGGTATCGTCGTTGTTCCCCCAGGCTGACTGACTCAGAAGGATCATTGCTCCCTCAGTTTTGCTACCGATAACCTGAGGTCGAATATCGTAGTTTTCTTCTTCATCTACAACTGGTGCAGCAGGAAGAATGCGAGCAGTTGAGCAGCAAGCAAAGGCTTCGAGAATGACATTCATTGCAGTTCTAGATATACCTAGGGGCTTTTTGCACTCAGTGTCTTTTGTATCCGCAAAGACACCTCGAACAACGGTCATTCTATTTTCTGTCAGAGTCCCCGTTTTGTCGGAACAAATATTGGTAGCGTTTCCCATAGTCTCGCAAGCTGTCAAGTGACGAATCAGATTCTGGTCGCGAAGCATTTGCTTTGTGGAGTAGGCGAGTGAAATTGTAACAGCAAGGGGCAATCCCTCTGGAACAGCGACTACTACAATGGTAACACCAATGATGAATGCGTCGAGCGCATGTTTGAAAACACTCACATCCTTGAGGTATTCTGGATCAATGAAAATTTTGATCCACATCATGGCAATAAAAGTTGCGGCTGCTGCCGCCATTCCAACATGTCCGATGTTGACTGCCATAACATCCAATTTTTCTTGTAGAGGAGTCTCTTCTTGTTCTTTCTCTAAATGACTCTTAATGATACCCCACTGCGAGTTTGGTCCAACCGCAGTAGCGACGAATCGGGTCGAACCTGCAACGGTGGTACAGCCCGACAAGAGAAACGGATCACTTGTAAAATCTTTCTCAATTTCTTCTGGCTCACCTGTTAGTGCAGACTCGTCAACTGCCAAGCCATCATAGTGAACGACGACTCCATCACAAGGAATTGAATCGCCAGCCTCTAGTGATATCAAGTCGCCTACTACAAGATCTTCCACAGGGACTTTTTGAAACTTGCCGGAGCGAATGACCAACACATCGACTTCGTCGTTAGCAGCACTAAGTTCACGAAACTGAGTTTCTTTTTGATAATCATTCACGGCAGTGACAACCGAGACCACCAAGCAGGCAGAAAGGATTGCCATCCCCTCAACGTATCCGACTTCTGGGTCGTCGTAAATGCCAATAGCCAACGAAACGATTGCCGCAACGATCAAAATTTGCAACGTGGCGTCGTCAAAAGTGTCGACAAAAAGCTGCCAGAAACTCTGCCGTGGTGTTGACGGGAGAACGTTCGACCCGAATAACTCGCGTCTCGTTTCTATAGAGTTCTCCGCTGCACCATGATCCGGATGCGTTGATACGAGATCTAAAAGACCCTTCACACCACCAGCCTCATTGAGGTGCCCAAGATTCGACGACAGCGTCTGTGGCACATTGATTCGTTTCACCAAGTCTTTGATGGTATCTGCCTTGTCTTCTAGGCATTGGCTGGCCATCTTGTTATCTTTTTCCMTTCAATGCACTAGTCACACAAGAATTGTCCACGAAAGTAAGCACAGGAAGTATTAAAATTATCAATGTTCACAATGGTTTTCTTCTTCACTTCTTTGAGCATTGCCATTTGCGCCTACCAGTACCGTAGTTGTTGACGTTTCACTTTTGGGTTCGCAACGGTCATTTGCGGTTGCAGTTGACTTTGATTGTTACCAGAGAGTGCGTAAAAGCAGTAGAGCAGGTACAGTACTGTAGTACGGATGAGTTCTCCCTGGACCAACAAGCTACACTCATCATCCATCGTCAGACCTTTTTGGTTATGCGCATGAAAAACTCGGTTTTTCGCGCAACCTCCCCCCACTCATCCCCTCCCGTCAGATTGGATGTAGTGCAACATGTGGTGGCGGCAGAAAGTCGGATATCCCAACGTGTCAAGGCGCGCACTTTTGTCAATCAAAATTTATTTTGTGAGTTCGCCCTCACAAAAAAATCGCAAAAAACAAAAATACTGAATGATTATTCTATTCTATTTCTATTTTCCTCCGCTACATAAGTGGTTGTTTTAGTGTTTGATAACTTAAATTAGGAGATTTTTTAAGCCATGGTACAAGAAGATAGAGTGGTACAGGCCGGTACCCAAGTACGCGTTTAGCATGAGAAAGGGTTGTATCGTATCGACTCATACCCTACCAAGTTTCAGATATTGAGTATCCATTCTAATAATCAAAAGATTGTTACGCCACGGTACAACACAACTTGTCCAATTCCCTGTCACGCCTTCTTCTCCAGGAAGACCCAGAAACAGTAAATCCAGCTCTAGCCAGTTTTCTCCTTTCTTACTCGAAACAATGCCTACCCGCATCGTCGCGAACGAAACGGATCATTCGCGAAAGTTCGGAAGTTTTCGATTAGCCAATAACCGGAATCATCTGAGCTTGTCGGCAACGAGTGTGGGGTCTGCAATCTCGCCCGGAAACGGAACTAATGATTGTTCTATCACACAGAGAAGCCTCGACTCGCCTCTGGTAAAACGTAAAAGCTCAAGAAAGGTAGTCCATTTGAGATCTTCCATCATTCGGAACAAAAAAGGAAACCAAAATCTTCGGGCGCTATCGAGCCAGGATATCCGAGCTTCCCCTCGTCTGCTGGGGTATTGTTTTCAACTCCTGGCCTCTATTGTGATGCTGATAAGTGTTTCGACCTTTTTTTACGGAGAAGAGAAAGAGACTTCGGATGAAATAGGTATCATATTCAATGCAACAGATGGTGTAGACAGCCAAAAGTTGTATTATAGCAATGAAAGTCGTGCTGTGTTCGCCTGGAAATTGTATGGGTGCTTTGTAGTGAGTGGACTTGGTACCATCATGTCGTCGGTAATCATCCTTGTCCATTTCGACACAATTTTCTTTCCAACTCTGTGGCTACACACTTTTCGTGACGGGAGTAAAAGGGAACAAGTACTGTTGATTGCCTTGACTATCTTTTGGGCCGTCGGGCTTCATTTCAATACGTCTTCTCTTTCCGTTGGGGAATCGCAAGCCAATGTCTACTTCACGACCTGGATTTCGTTTTTTTCAGCGGTGCTGAATTATGGGATATGGCGGGTATCTGCTGGGCGCACATCAATAGCTGATTTGGTCAATGAACACCATCGCGAGACAACGTGAGTTGAAAGTGGCCTGGGGTCTTCAAAGATTCCAAAAGAACTATCATGCCCGTTGCTGTGAACGCAATGAGACCCACAAATGAATATGTAATATCTTACTTTTTTGTTCTTTAAATCGACCAAAATTCCGTTGCAGATACAACTGGCTATGGGTTCTATTTTGCTCTTTGATTTTCGCATTTTCTATTTGCGATACTTACATCAATCGAGAGTACATAAAGTTGTATTTTGAAGGGCAAGATCTACATATTGAAAAGAAGGGCTGGCTTTACGCACTGATTCTTCCGTGGGGAGCTGTCGTTGTTTCAATCATTTCGATTGCATTGAACCACTTTTTGTTGAAGTCTTGTGAACTTAGGGTATTCGGAGGGAGATTTGTGTTGCTAGGGTGGCGACAAGCGGAGGGTCTAGTCGCTTTTGCCCTCACTGGTAAGGTATTACTTCTAGTCACGCTGCCATCGATTATAAGGCTGGCGTTCTTTTTTGATCAAAATAGCCTTTTGCTAACGTTGAGAGCTTATTTCGTTCAATGTTTTCAATTTGATTGTTGGCTGTTTGTCACAAAGGAGCGTTATTTTGGATAGTTTTCAAATACACTGGAGGAAATGGTATTTTCAACGGTTTGAATAATGTGTAAGTACCAACCGCAAACGAGAGTAGTTTTGTCGCGTTCACATTTTGCCTCGGAAGATTCACAATTTCTTGTCCCTTCTTGATTCTGTTCTGGTTCGGAATAGATATTTCGGGTAAGTCCTAGAAACTTGTACAGAATGGGTAAAACTTATTGTCGCATGAAATCGTCGCATTATCATATTTTGAATTCAGTATTCTCATGGTGGAAATTGTAATTACTTTTTCTATTGCCTTGCATTACTTGTTATGCGACAGGGTATGGGGAGCATTCATTAATTCGGGCACGTTGTTGGCAACATGGCTTCGCGAGAACAAGAATATCGAAGCTATTGAGGACGAGGAAAGGAATCGAGAATAAATCACAGGCATGGTAATAGAAGACCATGACGACACATGACGACAGCGGTTGCCCTGCAGTGTATATGATTACAGCGCCGTGTCGCATTCAATAATTTTAATTTACATCAATTTATTTCGTACAGTTCTATTTATGTATTATGGAAGCCAGAGGTATATCAGTGTCCTTTCAAACAGCTATTTTTGAAAAGGCAATATTGTTTTCCATTTCCCCAAGAATTGGATCCAATGCTACTGTCAGAGTGTTAACAGTTTCATCAATATCCCCAATTTTATCCAGACCAAATAAACCCAGACGGAATGTCCTCATTCCTTCTGGTTCGTCCAATTTCCATGGGACACCCATCGCAATTTGCAAACCTTTCTTCTTGAACTTGGTCATCATTTCTGCATTCTCGACTGTTGCCGGAGAATGGTACACCAAGACACCAGGAGCTTGAAACCCTGGAGCACTTACGCTTGTAAGACCCCTTTCATCCAGCATTGCTCGAGCTCGCTTTCCTAGCTTGTATTGACCTTCCTTCAGTTCCGGAAGCCCAACTTTCAGAGTCTCGACGGATATTTCATGGAAATCTCGCAGTGCATCCGTAGGCATGGTTGTGTGGTATCCGAATCCTCCAGCTTCATCTGTGATGAACAAAAAGATGCACATTAGAATAGGATACTTCCAAGCAAATCTACGAAAACGAAAGTTTTCCTGAAACAAATAAAATACTTTCTGACAACTTACATGTGTCCATAATTGCGGACCATCGTTTCAAACTCATTGCAAAAGATGTTTCCTTCGTTGTTTCCATCTTTTGTTTTGCTCGATCAGACATCATGACCAAACCAGCACAGCATGGTCCAGTCCATCCCTTTTGAGGAGCAGAAATAACCACATCGACGCCGAGATCTTCCATATCTGCCCAAATTGTGCCACTTGCAATACAATCCAAAACAAAGAGTCCGCCCACGTCATGCATCGCCTCGGAAACCTTACGAATGTAATCATCGGGCAAGATCATGCCAGTACTGGTCTCTACGTGAGCGCAAAAGAGGGTCGCTGGTCGCTCTTCATAGATCTTTGCCACTACTTCATCTACAGGACAAGGTGCGTACTGATAATTATGTTGATCAGTTGCTAGGTCGATAGGTTTTGCCTTCAACACAGTATGGGACTTTGGTATATTTCCCATCTCAAAAATCTCTGTCCACCGATAGGAGAACCATCCGTTTCGGATCACCATGACGTGCTCGTCTGTTGCAAACTGGCGAGCAACAGCTTCCATACCAAATGTACCCGATCCTGGAATTATTGCGACTTTGTCAGCATTGTAGGTTGCTTTCAAAAGGGAATTCAGATCGCGCATTACCTTTTGAAATGGATCGGACATCAAATTCAACGACCGGTTGGTGTGGATAACTGAGTACTCTTTAAATTGACCGAAATCTTCCTTTGGAATAATGTCGTAAGAGGGAGTGTCGTGTTTTTGGCTGTCGATGCAGGTTGGATAACCTGACGAGAAGGCCTTCAAGCCTCTCCTAGGAGCTCCTAGAGTCATTGTTCGATGCTGGGCCTTTCCCAAGAATCTGCTAGCTGTTTGGAACATGATGGATTTCTTTCTTTCCTTCTATAAAATGTAGATTGTGAGAGTGATACGTTGCGCCTAGGAGTACGTATTTGAAATCGAACAAGTGAAACTTTCTTTACAATGACGATGATGTAAGCATTTTCTAGAACCTTCTTCGTTCGATTTTCGAATATCAGATGGCCTGATCGTTTTGTTCGTGTTTTCCATGGAGAATAAGAAGAATTCAATCACAAACAAAATGCAAAGCTCCCTGCTTTGGTATGGAACATTGTTAAAAAACATACTACTGTAGTAATACTCTACGGTATTGAACTGTGATCAGTAAGGTAGGATGTAACGTACGGTAGCGTACTACGATGGAGAAAAAAATAACGTATTGTATCAATTGACGAAGAATACATGACACCTGTCTGAGCACGTTAGCTGTATCAATTGACGAAGAATACATGACACCTGTCTGAGCACGTTAGCGATGATTCGAATCGTGCATTGCGGTAAACCCAAGACGTCATCGACAAGATTACGTTTTTAAATTGAAACAAGCGCACCGTACAGCGACGCGAAGAACGAATGTACCACTGAACAAGTGTTGAGTTTATGTGCCGTATGGTACGTACGTACGAGTACTACCCCTGGAATATATATTCCTTATTCCTCTAACAGACCAACCAGCAAAAAAATGACGCATACTGGTAGTATTGCCCCAAAAGTGATTTTTGAAAAAAAATTAAAATTAGAAGTACAGTAGAGTAGAGTACTGCCTAAATTGATAACAATAGCACCATTTGTTTTGCAGTTTTTCAAGTTGTTTATGAGGACGCTGTGGTGTCTTCTTACTAGTAGTATGGTGAACACTACTACTAGTTCACAACATGAGTACTAGTATGAGGACGAGTATTGGTGCGAAATAAGATGTGACAGCTTTTGAACAGTACAAAATCTACATAGCTCTAAGTGCGGAATGATACTACTAGTCCTCTTACTAATTTACACCCTGCACCTCATCAAGCTGTCATTTAGTTCCACATAGAACCAAAAAGGGACTATTTCAGTTGAAGTGAATACCATTTCAGAGTGTTTCTGAGCTGGTTTGTTTTTGGCTCACTTCTTGTGAATTCCAATCACCAAAAAAATCGATATCTGGACACTGCTACTAGCATTCTTAACATGAAATAGAATCAAAATCAAAACTGTTTCCAAGAACAGATTTCTCTTTAAAAACATTAAATGCTGACTACAACTGGCTCCTCTACTAACTACTGGAAACTGTTTTGAGAATTCCAATTGGCAAAACAAAATCAATATCTGAACACTACTATTAATATGGAAGATTTATTGAAATTGAAATCAATTTGACGAAGAACAGATTTCTCTTAACATAAATCACTTAACATAAATTGCTTAGTACTACTGGAGTGTAAGGCACTAACTACTGGTAGAAACTGCTGTTACACTTCAGCATTTTCACCAACTAGTAGTACAGGATCAGCACCATCAACTAGTAATCCTTTCACTCCCTCCAGTACCTCAATAGGCATATTGGAAGCAACTCTCTCTTCTTCAGTCAAGAAGCTTGCAATGAAGGACAGTGCTTGGTTCTTCAATCTATTTCTCTCCCTTCCATATGCAGTCTCCCTGATAGTATCTCATCCTCTTTTGGTCTCTGCAACAGAGCCTCCTCAGCATCAGTCCAAGAAGCTGATGGAGGTGTGGAGATATTCTTCACTTTCATCCACATATCAACCTTCAGAAGAGTAGAAACTGGGAGGATCTTTGCATCTTCCTCCTTCTTAACATCTTTTACCTTTGAAGCAAAATTCTCAATCAAACCAAGAGCTTTGGTGCTCAAAGATTCTGCTGTTTTTGCAGCCTTCTTTACTTCCACAAAGTGTTCAATCTCATCCAATTGTCTGCTTCTTTCCTTGGCCATGAAATAGTCCTTTGTGTTCAGTGTATCTCTGCCAGTTGTAATAATGTGCTGGCTAGAAAATTTAACGCCTGCAATTGCATCTTACCAAGCCCTGGTATTTGGTTCTGTCACTTGTTGCACCAACTGTGCACTCTTTTGTGATGCATACTTTCAAAAAACTTCACTGTTGAAACCAGCATCATTCAAAACTTTAGTTGCTGCCTTATTTCTCTTCTTGTGTGCAACCAGTGCAGCTGTCTTTGGATCTGTGGTCAAATCAATTGATCCATCTGGCAACACAATCAGCTCATGCTGATCTTTTTTGTCCTCTAGGCATTTGTGGGTGAACAGTGCAATTCCAATGGTGCTCCATATATCTTTGCATTGGTCTATCAAAAAAGCCCCATCAAAGGCAAAATCCAAAGCCACATTCTCATTCAAGCCATGGCGCTTTCCAAAAACTAACAGCAGATAATCAGACTGCCAAAGATTATCATTTTGCATGTGTCTGTGGTGTGCAAGTTTTTCTAGGAGATTCTTTTGGTATAGGGTTTTGAAGTATTCATAATTGTAATCAGTTTGCTGCGTAACATGAGTTGTATCTGGTACCCCAGGATGAAGAAGAAAACCACAAGCTGCAAGGCTTGGCAATAATGCTTCATTGTTTCTTCTGGACCCATTGTCAACAATCAACATTTCCTGCTTGCCCAGCAAATCTGCAGCATCTGGATAAAGCTTAACAATTGCATCCAATACATAGTAGTACTTTTCAAACTCTTCACTGTACTTTTCAAACTCTTCACTGTCCATTCCTGCATTCGCATTGCAATTGACCATAGCTCCATTGCTTGTGATACAATTACTGCTGTATGCCCTTTGTGTTTTGAACACCTTTGACAAATAATTCTTGGATTTGTTTTTTCTCCTCTTCAGTGGCATTTGATTTCAATTGGAAGTGCAGTGGTAGAGGATAACCAGCAGCATTGCTACTTAAAACCAAAATGATTTGTGAACTGCTCTTGTTTGTCCTGTTGGCACCACATCCAATGGCTTTGTCTGTTGATCCATAAGCTGTAGAAGACTGCCCTCCAGCCTGGCTTCCATTCTCATCAAGTGTTAGGCCAGACTCATCCAGATTGATGATCCGGTTAAGTTGACCAGCAAAAAAAACAAGCTCACCTTTACAGATTTCATCATCTTGCTTCAGTCTGGCAAAGCCTTTTGCAACAAGTTCATGTTTCAGTTTGCTAAACCACATGTTAATATTACTATTGCTATATGAAGTCCAATTGAGTCGCCTTTCTTCCTCAATTTTGTTACCATTCTTTGTTGTAACCTTCAAGTGCCCAGCAAATGTCAGAAGCAATCTTTGGTAAAGGTTTATGTCATCATTTAGCAAACACAGGCCTGGCACTAAGCAAGTCTTCAGCATTGCAATGAAACCTATATGGCAAGGAAGCTTTTCCTTTTCCTTGCAAGAAGCCAAAGCAACATAAGATGATATGGCATCTCCCAGTGCAATTAAAATAGACTGTAGAAGCAAACTCTTCCATCTCTTTCCAGGAGCCCGGAGGTTGTCCTTCAAGTGTCATTGCACTGTGTTTGCCTTCAGCAATGTGTTGTACAGTGAATTGACCTGAGATACAACAATGCTGATGACAGAGGACTGGCAGTTGGGCGGCAAATTTTCTTGCTTGTACCTGACTTTCTTTGCAATAGCATTGTAAGCATCTTCATGAGCCCGTTTTTGTAAAAACTTGTTCACCATCTTGATATGAGCTTGTTTAGGAGTATCTGGACTCTCTTTTAGAAGGACTGATGCAAGGGCTCCCTTCTTCAGACTGCTGTCATCCTTGCTCTTTGCTGGTGCTACCACTGCTGCTGTTGAATTGATGAGAACTGATATTTTTGCTTCCAACTCCTCCACCCTTAGTCCTGATAGGATTACAAGCTCTTCCAGAAAGTTGATTAAGGCCACTTCCTTGGAGGACAATAATTCTTGTTCCTTCTTTGAGGACATTGAACACTCAAGATAATTAGGGGGGCCCTTCACCATCATCTCCATGCACCTTTGTTGTTGTTGTTGTTGTTGTTGTTGTT